ATTCAAGGATAATCGTAACAATAGTTACAGGAACGCGCTATTTTAGCATTCTTTGGCTATTTCCCTTACGTTTATTTAATGTTTCTTATTTTTATATTTTAATGCTTACGTTTATTATTTACCATGCTAGTAAAAATATCAAACGTTTTCTTTGAACACTTTGAACAGTTTTGTAGCCCATTCAATTTTATTTTAAAGAAGGGCAAAGTTTATGTAACTAGGACTTTCTATTGATTTTTGGAATTTTTTTTGTGGAAGGAGTTGTGGATTTTCTCCATACAAAAAAATTTTCGAACATACTTCTTTAGAAGAAAATGTGTGAACAAAAAATTGTTAAAAATCAACACTTACCTAGCTACTTTAAACTTGCACTTTGTATTACTAAATTAAAAAAATTGCGTACTCAAAATAATTCTAAAAAATGTGATTGAACAGTTTCAAATTTCGATGAACATTTGTTAAAATTGCGGAAAAAGTAAAAAGAATCGGCCAAAACCGGCCGATATTAGCCGATGCCGATTAATCGGTCAGACTCTATCAATATGATATCGACAATACTAGGGAAACATGTTATATATGCTTTAGAAAATACACTTAAGTATCGGAAAAAACACTTGTTTAGTATTTCACTGGCTACGTTACACTTAACATTTGTGGTACATTTCATTACCACTTCATAGGAGTTCTAAACAACTTTTTCGCTAACTTGGAAACAGAATACGTTCTCAACTAATAACAGGGCAATTCTGGCAGCTGTCTTTCAACTCACCACAGTCTTTCGAAAGACAAAAGTCTTGCGTAAGATAATTGTCAATTCTGGCTACCAGCTTGAAAGAAAGCTCTTTACCATGATACAAAAAAGAAGGTAGTTCCATTGTCACTTTTTCGTCGCCATATTAACCACCTGACAATTAAGCAGATTATGACATTCCGTGCTACCACCCATGATACAAAAAAATATTTTTTTATGTAAAACATTAAATAAAATAAATATTGTACATTAAAATTTGTTTGAATTAAAAAAAAAAAAATACATAAAAAGAAAAAATGAGCTGTTTATTTAATCAAGGCCCGTATACAAGACATTTATGCAGAGGTACAAAGGTAAGGTTCTTCCAATTCCCCGTTATTCCGCACATTCGAGAGAAGTGGTTGCTGGCATGCGGTGTTAAGGAGTGTGACTTTGCAAAGAATGAAATGTCGTTAGCCAAGAAGACTGCACGATTAAGCCGAAGTGCAGTGCCAAAGTGTAAAAAGTAAGCATGATAATCGCAAATGTGACCAAATTTTGATATTCATAATTTTCAGTAGTGAATCAGAAGAAACGGAAGAGAATTTGGAAAAATATCTCACGTATTTGGAGGGGTATGTGTGTTAAACTTTCTTATAAGCAACACAAAAAAAAACCTGTTCCTTTGAATTTATTTAGAAGTGAAGAAAATCTGTTTGGAATTGAACCAACAGGGTCTTAGGTCGAAATGAAAACATGTTGTGCTCAGAAGCCAATGTGGAGAAAACAAATGATGCTTTAGTAAGTTTTGAACCTAGAGGACTCACACTCACACATCATGTCTTCAAAGAAATAAACAATGTTCCCTTGTCACCAGCAGAACATATCGAGGTAGAAAATCGTCTACTTTTATTACTTTAAATATAGATTATATTGCAAACATCCGTATACATATCTGTTGTAGCTTCAAGAACAGGAAGAAGCCAATAATTTTTTGGATCGCATGACCGCGCTGAGTGATATTGAGTTCGATGGCTTGGAAAACTTTGGCGGCTACATAATTTCAAAAATGGGCTTGAGTCAATTTGGATGCGAACATCTGCTGAAAATAGTCAACATTTTACGTATGTTAATTTACTTTCGGAGGGGGGGCTTTATAAACCAAAACCGGAGTTTTTAAGTTTTTTGGAGCAGGCTAATGCAATTTTTATCAAAATTAATGGGGATCTATTAACCACAGACCTAAATTACATGCAAAATTTATTGATAAACACGAACATTAGTTTAGATCAAAAAATTCTAAAGCGGTTTTATTATGTCCTACACATTTTTTCGGATTAGATATCTTAATAATAAAATAAAACAAAACAAAATTGGCAGAGTTAATAAGAAAATGAAAAAAATTTTCGCATAGCCAATCACTAAAGATTTAGTTTTAATTAATTTTAAAAATGTTTTTAATTCAAAACGCTACTATTTATATATCAAATTTTTAATATAAAATATATGGATATTAACAATGTTTTTCTTGAAAAAATACTTTGTCTAAAATAAATTACTTAAATAAAATTAAAAAACTTTGAAACTTATCTTAAAATATATAAAATGGATACATGCCAACAAAAGTATTTTATTTCTTAAACTTTTTTCTTTAGCTATATTATCAATGACTTTAGACAAAATATTTGAATTAATTTTTAAAGCAAAGTATTTTCCTTACTAAGTTTTTGTGTTATATGCCTCTTCATTCAGCATTTATGAAATCCACCATTTTATAAATAATATCCAATATATGATTTGAAATTACCCTCTCCTACAAATTTCCGATGTAGCAACGCTATGCCAAATGTTGACATCAGGGAGAATGTCAATAATCTGTTTTTTAATCAAAAAAAAATTTAAATGAAACTACCTTGTATTTTTGTATCATGCTCTTTACTGTCTTTTGAAAGGTTATTGAAAGATCTGCTAGGTTATGCTGTTCGACTTTTAGCAATAAGGTTTTTATAAATCAAATAAATTGAAAAGCCAAAAAGGAAAAAAATTAATCAGAAACAAGTAAGAGCAGCGCTGTCTTCGGCTATGCCTTTCATGAGCAGCTGAAAATTTTACTTTAACAGATTACTGCATTTGAATAACTTTATATATTCACAGCAGGCATAGATAGAGGAAATACATATATAAAAAATCATATCTAAACAATCAGAGGTATGGAAGATTTACCTTATATTGCACCAATCTAAGTAATTTCCACTGCTGTGTGATCGGTACGTAAACCGGTAACACAATTTAATGGGTTTAGCTTCCTACATAATGGAGATACATATATCGCAAAAACTGGTATCTGAACAATCAGTGGTACAAGAAATTAAGATTATACAGCATAGATTTTGACGATTTTCTCAGTAGACTTTGTATTATTATTTAAAAAATAGCTTACGAAATTTATCGGTTTTAGCTGCCCAAATAAAGGAGTTTTACAGTAAAACCCCATATCTGAACAATCAGTTGTATGGGGGCAATAAACAGGTTATAGTGACCCGATCTTTGTTAATTTTACTGTAAACTTTCTGTTGATAATGAGTGAAAATAGTGCGAAATGTCATGTTTCTAGCTGCATAGATGGAGTAGTTATAACAAAAAAATAGGTTGTAGCGACCCGATCTTCTTCATTGAAAGTATTCTTTTGATAATAAGTGACAACAGTGCAAAATTTCATGTGTCTAGCTAATGAAATGGAGGAGTTATAACGAAAAATCGTATATCTGAACAATAAGTTGTATGAGAGCTATAGGTTATAGTGGCCTGATCTTAGTAATTTTTACTCTAAGTTTTCTGTTGTTAATGGGTGGAAGTATTGCAAAATTTCATGTTCCTAGCTGCATAAATGGAGAAGTTATAACGAAAAATCTCATATCTGAACAATCAGTTGTATGGGAGCTATATGTTATAGTGGTCCGATTCTTCCGGTTCCGACAAATGATTAACACATTATAAAAATACACCCACCTATCAAATTGGATCCGGATATCTCGAAAACTGAGAGACTAGATTGCATACAAACAGACGGACAGACAGACAGACAGACAGACGGACAGACGGACATGGCTAAATCGACTAAGCTCATCGTTCTGATCATTTAAGTATACATTTTAATGGGTCTATCTCTTCTTATTCTGGTACTTACAAACATCGGACCAAAGTTATAATACCATTTCATGCTCATGAAAGGTATAAAAAGGAAATGAGAACCCCGGTTCGAATCGCAGCTGGGGCAAGTTTTAATTTTTATTTCTTTATTTTACCTAAAATTGGTTACAATGACAGAAGCCAACAATGGGTCCGAGCCTAAGACATTCAATGTTAAATATAAATACAAGTTAAATTATGTACTTGAACCAAAGTTTGAGCTACTTAAAATCACATAGTTTTTGGTGTACTCTAAGCCTATTCCAAAATCCTGCTCTTACAGGGAATACTCAACTCGCTCAAATTTATTTTCAACCTCTTACACGAACAAATGAGTAAAATCCAATTAGTCGGCTATACTCGATAGAGACCAAATTTGCAGGCACAAATAAGCGTAGGTATATTTTGAGCATGTTCTTGTTTTGGTGGGAATTAATCATATTTTTTGGAATTGGTATATACATATTCTCCAACAAGAAAACTACTGTTCTTTTGAATATGGTGTGCGATATGTGCAAATTTTTCTTCATTGGTGTTACTAAATATTTTAAAATTCTTATCCCACACCTTCTAACTACTAAAGGCCGTTTTCACCCAACTCTGGTTAACACTAATCCACAGTTAAACATCGTTACCTACATCACTAACTACATGCATATAACATTGGGCCGGTAACGTCGGAAATGGCGTTTAACTAGGGATTAGTTTTAAGCAGAGATGGTGAAAACGGCCCTTAGGGCCGGTTACTCAATGCCTGGTTAACACTAATCTCCGGTTAAATATAGTTATCGACGTTACCGACTCCATGTTATATGCTTGGAATCGAAGATATCGATAGCGATGTTTAACCGCAGATTAGTGTTAACCAGACGTTGATTAACCGTCCCTAAATGTGTCTTAACATCTGTTATTTTTTGCTTTAACTCTGAAAATTTAGTTGTCAAACTACGAAATACCAGTTGATATTAAGACGATGAGGGTAAGAAATTCGGTAGGCAGATATGTTTTAACAGTAGAAATTCATGGTCTCCACCTGACATATGTTTTAATACAGCTTTTGTAACATAATCTAGATGTGGGATTATATCAAATAGGGTTTACTCACATTTTTTACATGAATAGTATTTGTATTGTCTTCTTTATTAAGATTTTGCACACTGTCTATTCCATCGAACTCCGGCCCATTGTCGTATGAGTCACTTACGTCGATATATTCTAATTCTTCATAAACATCAAATGGTTTCATTTCCTCATGCATTTCTGCCACATTAGTGGTTTTCATAGGTTGATTGTCATTAAGATTTTTTTCAGAGTCGGGTTGAGGTGGAATGGCAATTTCATTTTGGAAAGAAATATTTTTAGCAGGAGCTTCGCGGTGTCTAAATGCTGCCTTTCGGACGAGATAAAGAATTCGTGCATAGCAAACCACAATGCAAATGCAAGGAACCATAAATGCAGCAATGAAGAGAAATTCTTTTGGAGTGTGGCCATTGTCATCAAGCAAAATAGAGCAGGATCCAATCGATGTATCCAATCCGAATCTACCCCACACACCTCGCCAGGTAGGTATCATTATGGAAAAGGCAGTTATCCATGTTCCCGCAATCATTAAGGCCAAATACCGACGCTGGTAGATTCTGGAATTACAATAGTCAAGGTTCAGTACATACGTAGCATTAATTCAAAATAGTTTTTGCTTTCAAACCGGGAGTACTGTCGTGGATGTGCGATGATAATGTATCTGTTAATAGTAATGAGTGATACGGTAAATAGCGAAACAGCTAATAAACCATAACGCATTAGAGGGAAAAACCTGCAAAGTAGATCACCGTGTATCCAAGACCTCCTCAAAAACGTAGAAGCCGCCAACGGGAGGTTGAAACAGTCAAAAAGTAAGTCCGATGAAGACAGATTCATTATAAAAATCGCTGTTGAGTTCCGCGTCTGCAATAAGGGAATATAACTTAGCTGTTTCTAAATGTTGCAAATCAGTGTAGAAAGTTAATTTAGCATACAGTTGTACCGCAGCATCCACTACGCTACAATTCCCGTCAGCACCCAAGTCCTACACTATCTCTCTAAATACACATACACAAATCATCTGAGCGCATGTACCTACTAGCATCCTTTTCCATGTGATCGACATTTATTCTGGTATTCAGAAAGCTGTCTCACGTTTCTAGTCTCAAAAAGAAAAATATTGAGGAAAAGATAATTACTTTCAGTTTTATTATTACCTTCCTTTTATTAGCTCGGGATGTAACTATGTAATATTGATGCGCCTAAAAGATGCAGCGATTTCTATTCTCAAGTTACATACCTGATACAGTACGAATGACAATTATAATAGGGAGGTTTTAGTTTTTTAAACTATAATTTTATTTTATAGAACACGAAAATGAAGCTGTTTGGGCAAATGGCAATTATATTTGAATTCTAGTTAAAATGCCTTTATGTATTACGTATAGCTCTTATACTCTTATACTCCTATACTTTGATACTTTTTCATCTGAATTTTAAAGCAAACTCGTACTGTACATACTTTAGGACAGGTTTTGTTACATTAGCAACCCTATGAATTGTATGATGTTGTTGTAAAACGATGTATATAACTATAAAATTGAATTGATCTCAAACCACCGTCAGTAGCGCATTTGCTTTTTCGCTTATTTTCGCAAATTCACCGAAATTTTAGTTCCGAACCATTTTTCGTACTTTTTCGTAATTTTTACAAAATTGAAAGCAGCAAAAACCCTTGCTGCAATAGAAGCTAAGAAATATTTATTTAACAATTTCATTAAGAAATATAGCTAAATACTTTAATGAGCTTGAGGCCGTTTTTAATAAAAATTCTTGTGGAAAAAAACAACTTACATTTTGGTAGAAGTTATAGCTGCTATTTCGGAGATCACCACGTCTCCTCATCAGACTTCTTCACTGGGAATCGATCCAACGACCCCAGCGTCCAAAGCCAGTAGGCTATTCACTGAGCAAAGTTCGCCACGTAAACTGGTGTTGCTTTTTTCATTTTTTTTTCATGTGTTAAGTCCAGATCGTTCGCGTTCGCGAATGTTAGGTAGACAAAATTTCCGATGTTGTTCGTACGCGTATGTACCATGCAGTGAAAACCCAAACTAGTCAGGAAAAATGCTAGTTTACAACAAGAATTTCCTGACTGAAACCGAACTAGTTCGAAAATTACCACACTTGTATAAAGTACAAACCGATTTGTTCATGCTTGACTTCCACAGTTTAATACAATAAAGTACACCAAATATTATAACTTTTATTTGGATATATTGTAAACCATTAAAGCGAGTACATATTCAGTTATACCAGACCTGTTAAATAATGATTAATGATCATAATGATTATTAAATAAAGCATGTTTTTTGGATAACCGGTTAATGATTAAATACCAATATTAGCACCTTTTTAATGATTAATATAATTAATTAAAAATTCTTAATGAATTCACTAATTTTAATTACATGGTTATTATGTTGTTTTTGATCATTTTCAATTATTTTGTACTTTTTTTAATTACATGATTAATATAATTATTTGATTAATTTCAGTCATCAATCAACCAGCCAACTATAGACAAAAATTAAGAATATTTAATAACTGCATAAATTATTTATTTCTTTTATTCTTATCCAAATCTCAAATGTTATGCTTTCATTATTACTTTTATAAAATTTTTAAAAGAAAGGACTGAAATATGCAAAGTTAATGAATTTAATTTAATTTAATGAAAAGTTTTATTTTTATTTAAGTTAACTCGAAAATGAACTAAAGTATTTATTTTTAACTAAATTAAATATTATTAAAAAAGATGAAAAATATAGTACAGTAAAACCCGCTTAAGTACCTCACGAAAAATGTCAGCTTTTTGAGGTACTTAGACGAGTTGGGTACTTAAAATAACCCGCTTAAGTACCTCGTTGCAGGTACTTAAGCGAACACCATTATTGGTGTAGTTACACCTTCTTGTTAACTTGCATTTGTATGTATGTAAATCCTTGATTAAAACATGAACATTTAATTAAGAATACGAAGCTTAAAACCAAGATCGTAACATTATTTAAACAGATAAACAAACAAAGAAAACTTTATTAGAAAATAGATAAAGCAAAGTATTTAATTTTTACAAGAGTTAAGTTCTTTAAAATTTCATTGATTATACATATTTATACATTCATACAAACAGTGTTGGACATATCATTTTGGATCAATTTCAGAATAATATTCTTTGCCACTTCTGTTTATTTATTAATTTTTACGATTTTTCAATTAAAATGTAGTCAATTCCCTTACCATATAAACCTAAGCTTAAGATTTTGAAAAACACTTACAAAAAAAATTCATCAAAATTTCAAACTTACTTAAGCGGGTTTCACTGAATTTTTTGTACCTGAAAGCTTTTACTTTTAATAACATTTAATGAAAAATGCATTAAAATTTATGATCGTAAATTTTAAATATTTATGTATTTATTTCTCCTTTAATTAATACTCGAAAAATTTAACACTAATTACACTATGCGACAGTCAAAATCGGGATGGGATGAAACCAACGGGAAATGTTATATCGGTCAAAAACAAGTTATACGTGGCCCGGCGTTTCGCTGGGTACCGGGGCTCTGCCTCGGATGACCTCTCTCTTCCCCCTTACTCGGGGCATTCTATGGAAGAAACACAAATTAATAAAAAAAACAATAAAATCTCTGTGCCCTCTAACAGTGGGCAACAGTCAGCAGTCTCAGAGGTGCACGCGATGCCCAACGAGATTGCTGAACAATTGGCGATCGCAGCGGCCGAACTGGGTGCAAATCCAAACGGCCAAGGTGCTCAACCCTCTCGGGACGCTGTAATGGACGAAATGGACTTTGATCCAAACGGCCTTCTCATCAACCCGGTGGCCATGGATGTCGATATTGCCAACATGGGCTCTGGTTCAAATGGCAACGACATCCAAATACCCACACATGGGCGTCGCCAGGATCGAATTTAGGGGGGGCCCAACATATAAAAAAATCCCAAAATTTTCATCTTTACACATTCATGTTTCTGGCATGCAGGGGACGATATGTACTTGCCGATTTGTTTTACAAAAATTATTTAAAAAGCAGACGTCTCGGTTGCTAAGGAAACCGGTTAATCGTTTCTGCAATTATTTCACATTGATTCTCTAAAACAAATTTTCGATGTATTCTTAAAATGCATAAACTTTAAGGTAAATTTTATAGGAAATTAAACTAACAATTTATTAAAACTAGTAGTAACCCCCGAAATGTGGGTGAGTTCTTAGCTCAAAATTTATTTAAAGAATTTCGTGAAATTAATCTTGTATTGCTAGACACCTGATAACCCAGGATAATTTTTAAGTTCTTAAAAGACATTACTCTACTCTAAGCTTCGTGCAGTGGGCAATGAGAAAACCGTCATCTTTAAGGTATAGTCCAACCTTTCACGATATCTGGTATTAGATTTAATCTGAAACGCAATAATCATTGAAAATTGGCGCCGTTTATGGTGAAAAGCATTTAATATCACACTTTCAAACTAAAGCTTTCTTAACCCTAAAAGCCTATCCTATTTGGGAGTAACGTAAAGCCTTAACATACGCCGTAGAGGCTTATGTACTTAAAAGATAACCTGTGAGCTAAAATATACTTAGTCCTGTCTTATTTTTTTAAAGAATATTGAAGTTGTGAGTTTGACTAATAATAAAACATAGTTTTATTAATAAAAACTATAGCCACATTTATTTAAAACAACAAAATAAAAAGTAAATTTTGTGTTAAAATTAAAAAAAGACCCATTCCGTATACGCCTCGCAGACGTAGATTATACTTTTAGGGTTAACCCTTTCAGTACAAAAATTCAACCACTGGTTCTAAAAAATTTGAAATATGTATACCGGATAATTTTGGATCGTTCATTTTAAAAATCACATACAAAAATGTGTAATGCTTTGAGGTTTGCGGTCATTCAGGGTCCTTTTTAATGGTCAGTGATATCCTAGGTGTTTAAAAAAGAAAGGGATCTCAGCTATTTTCATTATTTGCTTTCGTGAAATATATTACAAAACTATGAATAATACTTAATAACTTTTCCGAATCTCAATTCCACGGAAATATGGTTAATATTTTTCAATAGATTATATTACTCACTATGGACTTTTCTGCCGCTTTTTACTTTTTTGACAAACACGGTCAACTGCAACTGCAGCTTGCACTTTAGTTTGATATATAGCTCAATTCTGTGGCTGCTACAGATCGACCTAACTAAGTCGTATGACCTTCGGCGTAGCCAGGATGAAATTTAGGGGGGGGGGGGGGCTCGACTCTATTAAGCTGGCATTTCAGGGTACTATTTTATATATATATAAGGAAATTTTGAAAGTTAGGGGGGGAGGCTCGAGCACCCCCCTGCCCCTACCTGGCTACGCCCATGCTTATGACTGAGCAATTATATATAGATACTAAAGGCCTGAACTACAAAACATAGCGACATGTAACACATCATGCAAGTGCCAGTTTATATCATGTCGCTCATACATGTTTGA